ATGCACACTTACTGAACAGGTTATTGTTAGCACAATGGCATGTGTAGATAATTTATAAGTATCATTGATGATGAACTGATATTCAATGGCTTTTTTGTATGAAAGTACTGGGGCTTGAAGTCAGGGCACAGTTCTTCAGCATTTTTGCTCAAGGATGGTGCTGTGCCACTTGAGCCAACGCTCCCCTTCCAGTTTTTTTTTTGGTTGTCAATTGGAGATAAGAGACTCACAGACATTTTCACCAATGCTAGCTTTCAACCAGAATCTTCAGGTGTTGGCTTCCTGAGGAGCTAGGATTACAGGTGTGCGCCACCAGCACCTGGCCTAATGAGCAAGTTTTAAACATTGTCCTGGGCAGTTTGCCAAAATGGTTTAGAGGAAAATAACTTTATACCAACATTTACCACAGCCTCATTCACAAAAGCCCACGTGTCCATCAGCAGATGAATGGGTAACCAAAACATGCCATAGCCAAAAAATGGAATATTATTCAGCCACAAAGAGAAAGGCATCCTGATGCCTGCTACCACATGAGCAAATCTTGAAAACGTGACGCACAGGTATTTTAGTTTGCATATAGGAAATGTTTAGAATAGGTAATTTATAGAGACAAAAATATATTAGGGCTACCAGAGGCTGGGAGGAGAGAGAGGAATAGGGAATGTTACAGGTCAAATTGTATCAGTCTTGTCCCCACCCCCCCCAAAAAAAATAGGCTCAAGCCATAACTCCCAGTACTTCAGAATGTGACCTAATTTGGAAATGGAGATCTGACCAGGCCAACATGAGGTCATTTAGATTGAGCCCCAGATCTAGTGACTAGTGCCGTTATAAGAAGAGGAAATGTGGACATAGACCAGGCTCTGCCTAGAGGGGGGAATGATGTGAAGACACAGGAAGAAGACGGGCCTGTGACTGGAGAGACGAGACTACGAGCCAAAGACTGCTGGCAAACATGAGAAGGTACTAGAAGCAAAGAGAGGTTCTCACCACCAGCAGTTCTGGTCTGTCCCACACCAGTTCTGTGGCTATTAAGCTGGAACTTCTAGCCTCCAAAATCCTGAAGCAAAAAATAGCCCATGCTTCTCTCCCTCCTAGTTTTGGTATTTTACCCTGGCAGTCCTGAGAGGATCAGTTGAGTAGTCATTAAAGATTTAAAGCATTGTTCAGTTAGTTGACATTGAGAGTAAAATAATTTCCGCTGAGGTGGACTCTTAAAAATGATTATTACTGGGCTGGGAAGGTGGCTCAGTGGTAGAGCGCTTGCCTTGCATGCCTGAGGCCCTGGGTTTGATTCCTCAGCACCACATGAGCAAAAAGAAAAAAGCCGGCAGTGGTGCTGTGGCTCAAGTGGTAGAGCGTTAGCCTTGAGCTGAAGAGCTGAGGGACAGCGCCCAGGCCCAGAGTTCAAGCCCCACGACCAGACCCCCCCAAAAAAAATTATTATTACTGCCAGGCGCTGGTGGCTCACGCCTATAATCCTAGCTACTCAGGAAGCTGAGATCTGAGGATCACGGTTCAAAGCCAGCTCGGGCAGGAAAGTCCGTGAGACTCTTATCTCCAATAAACCACCAGAAAACCGGAAGTGGTGCTGTGGCTCAAGCGGTAGAGCACTAGCCTTGAGCTGAAGAGTGCAGGGACACCACCCAAGCCCAAGCCCCAAAACTGACCAAAAAAAAAAGGAGACAGGAGACACCCTGAATTCAAGCTCTAGTATTGGCATGCGGTACACACGCATGTGCACACACACACAAAGACCAAATGCTTTTTAAATGGGCCCAAAACCCAGACAGGCACATCAATCACCAGGAAAGACACACAGATGGCTGATAAGCACATACAGAGATGTTCAACCCTGCACATTATTAGGAAAATAGAAATTTAAACAATGAGCATACCTATTAGAACAGTGGAAAATCCTGTACGCCGACACCACTACTGTTGGCAAGGATGTGAGCGTGTGGGTCAGTCCCCGGGAGGTGAGGAAGCCGGACAGGTCAGCCGTTTGGTGACATGGTTTGGTCTGCCCAACAAACCAAAGCCATCTGAACCGATGAGCAGCCATTGTGTCCACTGGTGTTTACCCAAATGTCTGGAAACTTCTGTTTACACAAAATCCTGCACAACAATATAGATTGCAGCCTTGTTCATAATCTCTCAAATCTGGAAGCAACTGAGATGTCTTTCAGGAATGAAGGAATGAATGAACTGAGGTGTATTCAGACACAGAAGAACTTGAAATACTGATGGGTCAGTGAAAGAAGTCAGCCTGGAAGTGTGTCAACTCTGTGGTATTCTAGGGGCAGTGGGGGACTATGGAGACATCAAAAGGTCAGTGGGGTCAGAGGGAGGGAGGGTGAATAGGTGGAGCACCGAGGATGTTTTTAAGGCAATGAAACTATTCTGTATGATGCTGTAAAGGTGTGCATACAGTACTCAAGACTGAATCTTGAGCTGGGTGCTCAGACCTGTAACCGTAGCACCTTAGGATGCTGAGATCTGAGGATCAAAGTTGAAAACAAGTCTGGGAAGACAAATCCAAGAGACTAACTAACCAGCAAAAAGCCAGAAGTGGAGGTGCAGCTCAAGCGGTAGAGAACTAGCCTTGAAGGGGAAAAAAAGCTTAAGAACAGTGCCCAGGTCCTGAGTTCAATCCCCAGGACAGGCACACTTGCATACATGTGTACACACACACACACACACACACACACAGAGTCACACCAAAAAGTGCTTATACCTCAAATGTTCAGCTTGCTGAATCTTATAAACCCAAACTGAGCGCTACTTTTACATTTCCAACTAAGCAGACTTTGAACGGGGGCGGGGGTGAGGGGGCTGTCAGATTCAGGGGAATTTTCAGATTTGTGGGTGACTGAGCAGCTCTCCCCCCCCTCCCGGCCCCCACTGGGCCGGTGCTGGGGGCCCTGAACTGGGCCGGAGAAACATAAGGGCCCAGGGCACGCAGCTGCGGTGCGGGACAGGGAAGGCGCAGGCGGCCCTGCTTGGAGGTGGCCGGGCCCAGCCCACAGGCCCAGGTAAGCCGGGAAGAATGCAGGAGCCGCCAAGCCCTGGCGCGGGCGCGTCCCGGTGACTCAGCCGGTGCCAGGAAGGGGCGTGCGCCCCAACTCTCCGGAGCTCCCAGACAGCAGCCCCATCCAGGCCGGCTCCGGGGCACCGAGCCAAGGCCCCCCCCTCCCCGCTCCAGCAGCCAGGCCCCCAGGGTGTCTCGCGCGGGGGCCAAAGCCACCCAGCACCATCGCGCGGGGACGTGGCCGCGGGGGAAGCCAGGGGGGCCACGCGGTCCTGGCCCCGACGGCGCCTAGAGGACCTGCGGGCGGTAAGTGGCGAGTTCAAGGACAGGGGGGACCGGGACCCCCGCAGGTCCCCTCCTCCTTCCCACCCGGGCTGTAACGCAGACCGGCGTCGCCCCTCCCAGGCCCCGCCCACCCCAGCGGGCTGGCTCTGCAGACGCGGCCAGCGCTCGTCCCCGGGTCGCGCCGGGGGTCCCCGCACCCCCTCCTGAGAGCACTCGGGATCCGCCCCTCCCGCAGGCCCCGGGGCTCCGGGCTGCAGCCAGCGAGGGGCCGAGTGCCGGGAACCTCTGCCGACGAAGTCGGGGTTCTGGCGGACACCCCCACGCCCAGCTGGTGGGCCGCCGGGGGTCGGGAGATGGGCGGCTAGCAATGGGACCAAGGAAGCCGGGCGGTCACTGGGCAGACTCTCGGAGGGACCGGCATCTCCGAGCCCCGGATCCCAAGCACCCACCGTGCTGAGTCTCCTGAGAGGCCGCGAGGATGGGCACAGGGCGCCCCAGGACCCGGGTGGCTCCCCAATTTGGGACAGCGCGGGGACGAGGGGTGGGGGGGAGTGTGGTTATTCAGCCAGCCGGCCCGAGGTGGTTGTGAGCGCTCAGTCTCTGGGTCTCTGTGTCTGTCTGTCTGTCTGTCTGTCTCTCTCTCTCCTGGTTTTCTACAAACTTTTTACAAAGTTCAGGACCGAAGGGAAGCACACAGCCCCTTGGGCAGCGCGCGCGGTGCTCTGGAGCTCGGGAGGCGGAGATTTGGGGAGGTGGGGGGCGGGGGGAGCTGCCCTGCGCGCGTGGAGGAAACGAGAGGAGTCGGCTTCCTGTGGGGGCTCGGGCCTCTGACGCCCCGCGGACGGACGTGTCCGGCCCGGCCCGGCCCGGGCCGCGCCGAGCCCCCGCTCGAGGGAGGGGACATGGGGGGGCGGGGACGGGGTGGGCAGGGGCCGAGGGGTGGGGAGAAGCCAGCCGGGGAGGAGCGAGGGGCTGGAGCGGGAGAAGGAAGAAGCAGGAAGGGGCGATCGGTGGGTGCGAGCTGACGCGGGGATGGAAGGAGCGAGCGAGTGAGAGGGGAGGGGCGCGGCGCGTGGTGGGAGACCCCGCGTGGAGATCGCGGCCGGGACGCGCGGAGGGGGAGACCCCGCGTGGAGATCGCGGACGGGACGCACGGGGGGGACCCCGCGTGGAGATCGCGGACGGGACGCACGGGGGGGGGGACCCCGCGTGGAGATCGCGGACGGGACGCACGGGGGGGGGACCCCGCGTGGAGATCGTGGCTGGGGTGCACTGGGGACAGCCCGTGCGGTGATCGTGGTCGGGCGCACGGAGCGGGGCGGGGGGGGGGAAGGCCCGCGTGGAGATCGCGTACGGGGTGCACTGGGGACAGCCCGGGCGGTGATCGTGGTGGGGGCACACGGAGGGGGGGACCCCGCGTGGAACGGGGCAGAAGCGGGGAGGGGAGGTTGGGGGTCGTGTGGGGATAGCGTCAGGGGCGTATGGGAGGGACAGGGGGTGGGGAGCGTGCGTGATCGTGGCCGGGTCGCACGTGGGGGGGAAGGGCCCTGTGTGGAGATCGTGCTGGGGCGCACGGGGGCGGGGGGGCACCCTGCGCGGTGATCGCAGCCAGGGCGCATGGCGAGGGGCCCAGCGGCTAGGCCTGCTCCCCACCCCCTACAAACCCGGGAGAGGTCGGGGCCCCTCTGGCTGAGCCCTGTGTCCCCCGCAGGTCCCGAGCCGATGTTCCAGGTGAGCAGTCAGCCCCCCTCTCTCTGCGACGCGCCCCATGGAGCCCCCAGTGCAGCTCCCGACCCAGGTAGGACGGCAATGGGCACGGGGTGGGAGTGGGGGCTGGTGAAGAGGAGTCGTTAGTGCTCCCCTTCCTCCCTCTGCCGCCAGCGCTGGGGTGGGGATGGGACAGTGCCTGGGCTTAGGGACTCGGGCCAAGGAGAGTAGAGGGCTGGGGTGAGGAGGCGGGGCTGAACCAGAGGCAGCAGCCACTGGGCCAAGTTGGTGGCAACTTCCCACCAGACACCACAGACTCACACACATTGCAGCGTCTGTCTGTCTGTCCGTCTGGGACTTGGATCCCAACCCTTTCTGCCCAGTGTGTAAATATTTATGGGGGCCTTAGGCCGGGTGAGGGGTGGCTGAGTCTCCTCATCCCCTCCCGCCCCCTCCAGCCCAGCCAGTCCAGTGCTTCCCAAAAAACTTCTGTCCGTCACTCACAGCTACAGGACCTAGCCCCTCCCCCACCTTCTTGCTCTGCCCTCCTGTTGTGGTGTCACTTGTACCATACACACACACCACTACCAAGTGTCCATAAACCCACACACACTTTGCATGTCTAACCTGCCCTGATTCTCTTAGTAGCTGTGCAATCAAGGGAAGAAATGTCAGCAACTTGAGGGGCCTAGAGCCAGCCCTTCCCCTCCCCCACTGAACAGACCGGCTGGTGAGGTTCACCAGGTCCTTAGGGTCCCCCTGAAGTCAGTCACATGAGGAATTCATTCAAGGGTGGGGGTGGGGTGCAGGAGCCTAAGCCCCGATTTCCTGACTTGAACTCCTTGTCCGGCTCAGTCTGGTGCTCTCTTCCTTCCAGCCCGCCCAGTCCCCTTTTCTCCCCTCTGAAGGAATATTGAAAACCTACTCTCTTCTCGACTTCCCTCCCTGGCCTCAGTCTCCCCACGCCCTGATCCGGGCTGGTCTGTTAGCCAGGGTCTCAGGGGCCTGCGGGCCTCGGGTCTTGGAGGCGGAGGTCTCGGGAACTAGAGTGGAGACAGATGTCTGGCCAGGGACCAGCACCCGAGCCAGACCTAGGTGTCTGCAGCCCTAAGTCCCTGTTCCCAGGGGGACTCCCTTGAGCAAGGAGAACTTGAACTTTGGGGGAATGAGCTCCCCCTAGAAAGGGGCTCCTTTAGCCTGGAGGCACAGAGGGAGAGAGGGCTGGGTAGTCTTTGTGTCTGGGAAGCTTCTCTGTCTCTCTTGGACTCTCTCCCACTCCCACTTTTCCAAGCTTTCTTCCCCCCTTTATCCATTTTCTCTGCTCCCTCCACTACCTCCTTCCAAGATCCCCTCCCTGGCTTGATCTGTCCTCCACCCAGTAGCTGAGGAGAAAGGCACAAAGTCTATTCCAGGCAGGGTCCAGGGTCCAGGGGAGCCTCTGGGAAAGCCAAGCCCTGGGCTGTAACCTGAGCTTCTCCCAGTGGAAGCCCCCTCCCCAGCCTGGCCTAGGCCAGACAATGCGGCTTTCATTACACCAGGCCTTGTACTGCCTTGGGAGAAAGAGCCTGCTGCCCAGGAAGCTCAAACCGCAGAGACCCAGCCAAAACCCCACAGACGCCTGAATCTGAGACCACAATCCCCCACGCGCCATGTGTGCTCACAGAACAGCCAGGCCAGAACACTGCCCTCCCTTCCTGGGGCTGGGGGAGGGGGGGCTGGGGAGGGGGGGAGTGCTGGCAGGACAGCTCTGGAGCAGGTTGCCCCCTCCCTCGGCTACCCAAGGTGCACTAGGGCACAAGGGGACTCAGGGCGGGGACTCAGGGCGGTTCTGGTTGGAGTAGCCGGCCAGGCCCCCCACCACACCCTTGGCTCCCCCAGTGGCCTCCTCCCCACCCATCCCTGAGAGTCCCTGGAGCCTGGTTCCCCATATCCACAAGCAGATTTCTGCCCTGGCACAGGAACACCACATTCCTGCGCATACATGGCTCTAAATTGAATTTCCTGGGGAATTGGAGCCTTTGGACCTAAAATAAAACAAACCAGGCCCGGCCTAACCCGCAGCTCAGGGGGCCCAGCTCTCCGGTCCTTAGCTTGGTGGCTTGTGAGAGTGGCCAGTCCATTCACATCGACAGAATCCGCACCAAAGGAGCCTGCCTTATCCTGCCTTCTTGAGACCCTAATGCCCCTCTACTCTTGATCCTCAGTCCTCTCTCTCCCCCCTGACCTGGGTATGCTCAGCTCTAGTACCCAGCGCTTACCACACATCAGACATATTTGATGTTCATCTCCATAGAGGGTGCAGAATGAATTCTTACCATGGAGTGGGGGGCCCAGTCATCATAAGTCGTGTGTGTGTGTGTGTGTGTGTGTGTGTGTGTGTGTGTGTTGGGGTTTGAACTCAGGGCCTGGGCACTGTCCTTTAGCTTTTTCACTCAAGGAGGGAGCTCTGCCACTTGAGGCCCAGCTTGACGTCCATCTTTTTTATTTTTTGGTGGTTAATTAGAGATGAGCATCTCATAGACTTTACTGCAGACCACAATCCTCAGCTCTCAGCTTCCTGCTTAGCGAGGATTACAGGCATGAGCCACTGGTGCCCCGCTCACTACCAAGTTCTAACAAGGAAGACGTGGGTGCTGAGTTCTTGGTGGTTGGGCTTAAAGGAGGCACCAATGGCACATGGGTCCAGGAAAGCAGAAGAGAGGGGCTTCTGGCTGGGGCAGGAAGGAGGTGAAGACCGTCAAGATCAATAGGATAATCCCAGAAGAGGGTCAGAAGGCCTGGTATGGCCTGGGAGCGTGGACAGGCCAGCCTGCCTGGGCCACAGGACCTTTGTACATTGAAGATGTTAGTGGAAACTTTGGTTGAAGCATGGGATTCCAGCCACCATGCTCACCAGAAGACGTCCTTATCTTTGCGCTCCAGATAGGATCACAGACAAGGGGCAAGGAGGCTGCACTTGAGGGCCCAGGCTTCGGAGCCCCAGAATACGGGCACTGACGGGGCTTGGTCTAAATCTCTCCCACCGGGAAGAGAGGCCCCTGTTTCTTCTTGGCCCAGAACCAACTCCCCCCCCACCCCCAGCATCCTCCCCTCCCCTTGCAAGTTGGCAGAGAACAGGTAGAGGAGTCTTAGAAGTTCCTGCTGCAGGTGTGAATCTCAGCCTTTCCTGCTGGGCTTGTAGACTTACACATGACCTTTCCACTCCCTTCTGGGGCTGGCTGGCTGGCTTTCCAGAATTCAGGGCATGGCTCGAAGCTTCTCCCACGGAGTGTGTTTAGCAGAGGGGCTGGGCCAGTCTGTATTTTACTAGGGGTACAGGGGTAGGGGGAGGGGAGGGCTCATGCTCAGAGATGCCACCGGCATGTTTGGTGTCCCTCTGGTCAGGTGGGGATGTAAAGTCCACCCCCCCACCTCCCACCCCCGCAAGAGTCTTTATGCACAACAAGAATTATACACCCACCCAGGAGCCCCTTTTGGCTTTTGCTGGCCACGCCTCCCCCCTCCCCCCAGCCCACTCCATACTTGTTCCCTTCAGGGGAACTCTCAAAGATATCCTGTCTAAGCCGGGCGCCAGTGGCTCACCCCTGTAATCCTAGCTACTCAGGAGGCTGAAGTCTGAGGATCACAATTCAAAGCCAGCTGGTGCAGGAAAGTCCGTGAGACTCTTATCTCCAGTGAACCACCACAAAAACCAGAAGTGGCGCTGTGGCTCAAGTGATAGAGCGCTGGCTTGGAGCTGAAGAGCTGAGGGACAGTGCCCAGGACCAGAGTTCAAGCCCCATGGCTGACCAAAAAAAAAAAAAAAAATCCTGTCTGTGGCTAGATGGTACTATATCTTGGTCACAGAAGGATGAATGGGCGTTTGATGCTGGTAACTCATACCTGTTATGCCTAGCTATTCAGAAGGCTGAAACCTGAAGATTGTGATTTGAAGCCAGCCCTGGCAGACAGATCTGAGAGACTCTTACTCCAATTAACCAGCAAAAAGTAATAATATTAATTAATTAATAAAATGGAAGTGGAGGTGGGGCTCAATTGGTAGAGCACCTGCTTTGAGGGGAAGAAGCTAAAGGACAGTGTCCAGATCCTGAGTTCAAGCCCTAGTTCTGGTACAGAGAAAGACAAGAAGGGGCGGGAGGAGGTGACCTCTGGACCTGCCGTTGGTCTGGCTTTGCTGCCTCCCTTCCGGGCCTGGTCTTCCAGCTGCTCCTCCTTCCAGTTCTTCATGTCTCTGGACGCTTTGTTGTCCCCTCTCCTGCCCTTGGCATTCTGGGCTGAGGCTGCTGCTTCTCTAAGTCCCGGGCTTGGCTTTCTTCCCCTCCTCCTTTCCCTTCCAGGCTTCGGAGTCACCCCAGAATGACAGGTTTGCTGCAGCATTGGCTTCCTGGGGCTTTGGGCCTGGGTGTGGGCAGTCTATAGTTTACTGTCTCCTTCAGGTTCAAGGTCACCAGCTGTGTGGGTGACGTGGGAGAGGAGAGAGTAAGATAGGGGGAGGAAGATGGAGAGGGGGGGCTCCAGGCTCCTGAATCCTTCTTACTCACCTTCTTTCTCCCTTCCCTGGAGCCAAGAGAGCCGAGTCTCGACTCTGTCTCCCACAGGACTGTGGTGGCACTCCCGGGTACCCGGATGACCTGGGGTGGGGGGATGCCAGGGGAAGCGTGGCAGGTGACCACCAGGCCTGTGCCAGCTGCCTTTCTATCCCACCAAAGGGCAGGTGGTCTCCCTGGTGTACTATGGCTGTCCCCAGGATCTTGGTTCTGGCTGTTCTGGTCAAAATTCCCCTTTTTTGGGCTGGAGGCATGGCTCAGCAGTAGAGCACCTGCCTGGCAAGCTTGAGGCCCTGAATTCAAACCCGAGGACCACCCGAAGAAGATTCTTCTTCTTTACTGATTATCATGTAAGACTCACTGAGGGGGCTTGCTTCTCTAGGAAGCCCTCCTAGCCCGGGATAGGTGCTGGTCTTTCCTTTGTACTTACTGAGTTTTCTATAGGTGCTGGTCTTTCCTTTGTACTTACTGAGTTTTCTTTCTGTGTGTCTGTGGGTGATTAATTGGAGATAAGAGTGTCATAGACTTCTCTGCCCAGGATGGCTTCGAACTGCAATCTTCAGCCTCCTGAGTAGCTAGGATTACAGGCGTGAGCCACTGGTGCCCACCTGGCTACTTCAATATTTTTTCTTTTTTCTTTTTGTCAGTCATGGGGCTTGAATTCTGGGCCTGGACTGTGTCCCTGAGCTTTTTTTGCTCAAGATTAGTGCTGTACCACTTTCAGCCACAGCACCACTTCTGCCCTTGCTCAATTTTAGCAGATGCCCCTGCTGTAAATGCTTTTGAGTTTTGTTTTACTTGTATATGTTGAGCCAGGGCCTTGCTCTGCCCTAGAACTTGACATCAACCTCCTGAGTACTGGGCTTACAGGCATGTCCTACTGTACCTGGAAGCCTACTTCCCCCTCAGTGTGTGTGTGTGTGTGTGTGTGTGTGTGTGCGCGCGCGCGCGCGCGCGCACACACGACAGCCACACCCCACCCCACCTGACAGAGAGCCTTGGCTTGTCTTTCTTGTTCTGATCTTCTCAGGGCTTGATTGCTAGGCACCCAACAGATTAACAGGAGCTAATAAATGTTAAAGCAAATAGTATAGGCAGGGAGGTAAGGGGAAGGAAGGGGAGGGAAGGGAAGGAAAGGAAGGGAAAGGAAGGGAGGGGAGGAGAAGGATGGAAAGAAAGATGGAAGAAAGAGAGAGGAAGGAAAGGGAAAGGAGAGGGAGGAATAAGGAAAGGAAGGAAAAAGAAAGGGAAGAAGGAAGGAGAGAAAAGGGAGAAGGGCAAGGAAAGGAAAAAGGGAGGTAGGGAAGAAAGAACTAGAGGAGAGGGAAAGGGGAAAGAAGGGAGGGAGGAAAGAGGAAGAGGAAAGAGGAAAGAGAGAGACAGAAGGAGGAGAAAGAGGAAAGAAGAGGGAGGGAGGGAGAAGAGAGGGGAGGGAGGGACAGGTAGAAAGGTGGGCAGGTGGAAGTGTTCACGAAAGGCCCTGCAGGCCCAGCTCATTTACTCTGTGCCCCTGAGGGACAGAGCGGCACCCAGACCCCTTCACTCCAGGTCACACAAGGCCCCATGCTGGGCCCCGCTGGGAAGCAGTAGAACGCAGGCCTGCATCTCCTGCTCCTTGATGGGTCTCCCACTCTATCAGGTGGAGAGTTGAGACCCCAGATCAGAGCTGGACAGGCCCTTCCTTCCCAGAAGCTCCCACCTGAGCTGCCAGCCAGTATGGTCTTAGCCAGGCAGACCTGGCCTGGCCTGGTGAGGCCCACGCCCAGGGCCGGCAGGAGCTCCAACCTCAGACCGCACTCTTCCTCTCTGGCCACCCGCTCTGCCTGCCTCTTCCCGGCATGCCAGGCCTGCGATCTGCCAAGAGCCATTTGACTTCTCCATCACTGATCCCGGGGCTAGGGGCACTCAACAGGCCCAGGGAGCAGAGGCGGACCCCAACTCCCGCTGGGAAGGACCCCTTCTGCCCTGCCCAGCTCCCTGTCTCCAGGCAGGGCCTGTGGTTTGCCCAGGGTGAGCCAGAGTTGGCTCACTGAGCATGCAGTAGCACCCTCTTACCCACAGGGGTCTCGGGGACTCTGTCCCCCTAACCACTAGAGACAGGAGTTCTGAAACAACCATCTTTAAGATCTGACTAAGCCAGGCGCCGGTGGCTCACGCCTGTGATCCTAGCTACTCAGGAGGCTGAGATCTGAGCATCACGGTTCAAAGCCAGCCCAGGCACGAAAGTCTGTGAGACTCTTATCTCCAATGAACCACCAGAAAACCAGAAGTGGTGTTCTGGCTCAAGTGGTAGAGCTCGGGGACAGCACCCAGGCCCGGAGTTCAAGCCCCACGACCAAAAAACAAAAAGATCTGAGACTAGGGAGTCAATGGCCACTGGACCAACCCCTCAGACAGCTCAGCAGCGCAACCGTGGAAGCCCAGCAAGACCCTTTGCCTCTGTGTCTCTTTGTGAGCTGATCTTTTACTCTTTGGGCTCTGCCCCCCATGACCTTTGCAATCTGTGTCTCTCCAAGTCTCCCCTTTCTCCCAGCAGAGAAGGTACAAGGGTCCAGGCAGGCCGGAAGACTTCACAGCACAGCCCCTACCCCAGTTGCACGGGTCAGGCTGGGGTCCACCACGGGGCGGCCGGGCCCTGATTGCCACCATGCCCCTGGCTTTCCCCCTCGGCCTCCCCTACCCCCCTAGCTGAGGCTGTGGGTTCTTGGACCTCTCCTGTCTGCCTCCCTCCTCCACCTTCTGTCCTCCATCCCCTCTTCCCCCCAGGCTCAGGGGCCTTCATCCTGCTGCGTGGGGATTTGTGGTTTGAAGGTGGCTCCATTTCTGCCATCCGCCCACCCTGCCTGAGCCACTGTAATTACTTGTGGCTGCGGTTCTCCGCTTCCCCAGGGCCCCGGGACCGGCCGTCTCCTGCTCCCTCTTCCTGGCCAACCCCTCCCTGTCCTCACCCAGTGTCCTCTGACTCCTCTGGCCGTGGCCATCATCCTCTCTGACCCAATTTCTGCCTGTCTCTTCTCATCACCCTCCAGATCGCACACTCCTCCCCGGTCTCTGCCTCTGTCCTGTCTTTTATCTTTCTCTCCATTGCTGACTTGCAAGCTAGTGTTGTCTTGTACCGGGCCCAGACTGTCCTGTCTGTCACTCTCTCTCCACGCTGCCTCCCGTGCCCAGTCTCCCACTCGGAAGCCCCCCCCCCCTCCAAACCTGTCTATCTCCACCACTGATCCACTGTCTGGCCTCCCGCACGTTTCTGCCCACCCCCCGCCCCCCTGCCCTTATACCGCATGTCTGTGTCTCCTTTTTCTGCCACCACACATGTACGCTCACGTGTGGACATATGCACACACACACACACACACACACACACACACACACACACACACCTGGGCTTGGGCCTGGGTTGTGTTTGTGCTTTTCATTTTTGGAATCTAGAGCAGTTTGAGCTTTTGGTACAAGGACCAAGAAGAAAGCTGCCCCAGGCTGTGGGACGGGGCCCGGGGCCGGACACACAGTAGAACACCAGGAAAATGTTGTCCTGTCGTCTGTTTTGTCTCCAGTCCAGTCCATGCCCCTCCTACCTGGGCTGGAGGTAGTCACGGGATCCACTCAGCCTGCGGAGGCAGCATCCCAGGAGGGCTCCCTGGAGGAGGAGGCGGCCCCCATGCCCCAAGGCGGTGGCCCTGGGGCTCCCCCGGCGCTGGACAGCACTGACCTCCTCCCCACAGAAGCTGTGACCTGTGAGTCCCAGGGGACTGGGGTTGGGCTGGCAACATGCAGGCGCTGCCCCGGGGAATCCAACAGCAGACATCCCGCCTGGCGCCGGCAGCTCACGCCCGTCACTAACCTCTGTTACTCTCGGGAGGCTGAGATCTAGGCTTGCAGTTCAAAGCCCATCTGGGCAAGAAAGTCCATGAGATTCTAATCTCCAACTAACCATGAAAAAGCCAGCAGTGGAGCTGTAGCTCAAGTGATAGCGCTTCAGCCTTGGGTGAAAAAGCTCAGACACAATGCAAGGTCCTGAGTTCAAGCCCCAGGACTAGCACGGGCATGCGTGTGTGAGCATGCACACACACACACACACACACACACAATGCAGCCAATACCTATGGTTGACCCCCCCACACACACTTTGCCCAGAGCCTTGGGAGCAGGAGGTATGGGCAGTGGGATTTGGGGGTGCTGCTGTGTTTCTGAGAGGAAGCAGCCCCTCCCCTACAAACTGATCATACAGAAAGCTGGGCCGCGGGGCAGGGCAGGAGCCAGAGCCTGATCAGCCCAATCCTCAGAGCACCCACAGTGAACTGGAAGGAGAGAAGCCCCACCCACACCACCATCCCTTTAGACTAGGGGAGAAAGGAGCAAAACGCAGATTCATTCCCCAGCCTGTCGTGAGATCTCTAAGCCCGTCCTCGGAGGGAGAAGTCTGGGATCCAGTTTTGTGGGTTCTCCTTGTTAGTTCTTCCGTGCTGCTAGGGTTTTGACTCTGGGCCTTGCCTGGCTAACTCCACCACTTGAGTCACGCCCCCCACCCATCCCAGGATCTTACCCTTCCTACTCTCGCACTTTGAGGGAATTTTCAAGTCAGACGCTAGTAGACGTTGGGGCAGCTATTGCCACACCTGTTTGACTGCCGAGGAAACAGTGACAGAGAGGCCGCGCAGGAGCCGGGCACGGAGGCCTGCTGGCTGAGCGCGCTTCGCTAGGCCCACCTGCCCGCGGCCGCGCTGGCTCCCTGGAAGGCAGCTTGGGAGGCCTGCTAGCCCCTGGCCGCCTCCTCCAGACACACCCCGCAGGACCCAGAGAAGGAGGTCAGCACCCCAGCCGGGAGGAGGGGGCCGGGTGGGATGGGACAGACACCCTTGTGTCTATGGCCCTGAGTGTTTGCTCTGTGACTCAGCCACCCCACAGCAAGGCCACAGGCAAGCTCTGTCTGCTCACACCCCTCCCAGCGTGGCCTACAGGCCCCCGCCCGCTAGCCACAGCGCCAATAGTTAGGCAGCAGGGCAAGGGCTACCAACGCTGGCTAAGGGCTCTGTCTAGTCACCTCCATGCGGCGGGGATGATTCAAGACTGTTTACAGGATACAAACCATAGCCGCACCTCACCCCAAAGCATGGAGCCCCCTACACAGCCCTGTCTCCACACACACATCCCCCAAGCCCTACCTGGCTTTGGTCTCTTCCTCCCGCCTCTGCTTCCTAGCTGGGAGACCTTTGGCAAGTCTGAACCTCTGTGGACCTCAGTTTTTTCATCTGAGAAATGGAGCCAATGATAGCGCAGCCGTGGCACTCAGAGGAAAGATGACAAGCTGGTGTCTTACTACTCCACCGGGCCGGCAAAGCACTTCCAGTGTGGGAGGTCCTGGTTATGAGGACCCCCCCCCCGGCTCCCAGCCTCTTCCCCCTCCTTTGCCTGTCTGCCCTCTAAGCCCTGCTTCTAATCTCTTAGCTTGGGCAACTTATTGTCCCTTCTGGGACTCAGTTTCCTCATAGGAAACTAAGCTGCCGGCTGCTGGTGGCTCCCACCTGTCATCCTAGCAACTCAGGAGGCTGAGCTCTGAGGATTATGGTTTGAAGCCAGCCCAGACTAGAAAGTCTATGAGACTCTTATCTTTAATTAACCAGCAAAAAGCCAGAAATGGAGCTGTGGGTCAAGTGGTAGAATGCCAATCTCCAGCGAAAAAGCTACGGGACAGTCAGCACTACTGGCTCACGCCTGTAATCCTAGTTACTCAGGAGGACGTGAGCTGAGGGCTGCAGTGTGAAGCCAGCCTGGGCAGAAAAGTCCGTGAGCCTCGAATCTCCAATGAAGCACCAGGAAGCCAGAAGTAGCACTGGAGCTCCAAGTGCTGGAGCACTAGCCTTGAGCAAAAGAGTTCAGGGACAGCGCTCAGATCCTGAGTTCCAGCCCTAGGACAAAACAAAACAAACAAAAAGCTAAGGGACCGAGCCGGCCCTGAGCTCAAGACTCTGCTCCAGCACCAAAAGAGAAGGTTACTCACTCACTGTCTTGTGAGCGAGCGGAAGCCCATCCCCCCATCCTTCCCGCTTCAGAATTGAAGCGCACAGGCCAGCCTGGGAGCCAGGGGTCCACATCTCAGCCTGCATTTACAGAGAGCCCTGCTCAGGACTCAGGGCATCTGGGGAGGGGGGTGAGCGGGGTCCCTAGAGCTCTCACAATCTAGGCTCTGTGCCAGTCCAGCGCATTCACCCGCACTCACCTCCTGAGAGCCCAGCCCAGCCATGCAGTGAGCACCCCCACGCCAAGAGGGGATGGGAAGTTTGGAGGAGCCCCAGGGTCAGCTTCCTTGTACCCCATGAAGTCAGCATGGTGGAGCAGGGTGGAGGGCAGGAGGATGAGAGCTGGAAGGGCTGCCGAGCGAGCGAGCGCAGCCCCTGAACGCACAGCCGGGGAGCAGCTCCAAACAGATGTTTCCAATAAATCACCCGGCACCAAGGGCAAAAACAGCTGGGGGCTTGGCAGAGGCCTAGGTGAAGGTTAACCGCTTCACTGCTGACCCCTCCCCAGCCTTCACCAACCCGCCTCTGCCTCCCACTCCCACAGCCAAGCCCGAACCCCAGGACCCCCCCGCAGCAGGACCGTGGGTTCATGTGAGATAAGAATGTGGGGGTCTAGGCTCTCCGTATTTCTCTATTTTTTTCTAGAACAAGCACTAAACCTGGGTACTGGGTCTGCCGCTATTTCCTAGGTGGCTCTTGACTGGTCAGTTCTGCTTGCAGAGCCTCAGTTTCCCTATGTGCAGAAGACAGGTCTGGGCTGGGTGCCTTGTGATGCAGCTAAGGTTGCAGCAGGTAGGATGAGAGCACAGCGGGGGGACCTCATGCCCCCCCATCATCTTTTCTTTCCATCTCCAGGCCAGCCTCAGGGGAACCCCTTGGGCTGCACCCCACTACTGCCAAATGGCTCCAGCCACACCTCCGAGCTGAGCGGCGCCAGGCAGGCGGGCAATGGTGTGCTGGGTGGTCCCAAGGCACACCGGAAACTGCAGACGCACCCATCTCTGGCCAGCCAGAGCAGCAAGCGGAGCAAAAACAGCACGAAATCAGCTGCCTCCCAGATCCCCCTCCAAGCGCAGGAAGGTAAGGGAGCACCCCCATACTTCCACCCCAAAGCCCAACCCCCCAGCCAGCAGCAGCAAGGGGGCTGAGTAGAAACACAGAGCTGAGTCCTCCACCTCCACCCCCCACCCCCACTCTGGCCGGCCCACTGCCATAAAGCCAGCACCCCGGGTTCCAAGAAGTGCTCCATGAAAAACACACAGCTGTTGGGGGTAAACTGAGGCATAGCTGTGTCCTCAAGGCTCCCCTCCCTGCCAAGATGATAAGCAAGGGAGGATGTCATTGGGCCAAGAGACCACGGTGGGGACTTTAGCCTTTCTTTCCAGTGAGTTAGCCATGGGCGTCTGAGAGGGGCCTGATCCATGAGACTGTTCTTATTTGCCATGCTGGGCCTTACTGCTGTCATGAACTGGGCCTCACGCTCACTGGATGAGTTTCCCACCACCTGCACCACTGAGCCATGCCCCAACACACTGGAATGTTTTTTAAGCACTAGGGTTTGAACGCAGGGCCTAATACTTGCTAGGCAGGTGTTCTACCACTGAGCCATTCCACTCCTCAGGCCCTTTTTTGTGCTTTTTGTTTGTTTTGTTTTTTGTCAGTTGTAGGGCTTGAACTCTGGGCCTGGGTGCTGTCCAGGAGCTCTTCTGCTCAAGGCAAGCGCTCTACCACTTGAGCCATAGCGCCACTTCCTGTTTTCTGGTGGTTAATTGGAAATAAGAGTCTCACAGACTTTCCTGCCCAGGCTTGCTTTGAACCACCATCCTCAGATCTCAGCCTCCTGAGTAGCTAGGATTACAGGTGTGAGCCACTGGCACCTGGCTGTAGTGATTATTTTTGATAGCCTCACTTGATCCACCTTTGTGTTTGTGTGTGTGTGTGTGTGTGTGTGTGTGTGTGTGTGTGTGTGCCGGTCCTAGGACTTGAACTCAGGGCCTGGGCACTATTCCTGAGCTTCTCTTGTGTCAGAGTAGTGCTCTACTTGTGTCTCTACTTGAGCCACAGCTCCATTTGCAGCTTTTTAAGTATTTTATTGGTGGTAAGAGTCTCATTGACTTTCCTCAATCCAAGATCCTCAAATCTCAGCCTCCTGAGGAGCTAGGATTACAGGCGTGAGCCATCAGTGCTGGCTTGAAATGACTTTTTTTTTTCCCCTTGGCCTGGAGCTTGAACTCCGGGCATTGTCCCTGGGCTCCTTTTGCTCAAGGCAAGCACTCTACCACTTGAGCCTCACCGCCATTTCTGGCTTTTTATGTGATATGGAGATAAGAGTCTCATGGACTTTCCTGCCTGGGATGGCTTTGAACCGTGATCCTCAGCTTTACCTTAGTAGTTAGGAGTATAGGTATGAGCCCACCGGTGCCTGGCTGGAGTGACTTGATTTCTTTGTGCCTAAGTTTTTCTGCAGTCAGGCGAATATCAGCCCTACCTCAAGGAGTTGTTGGAGGCTTAAATGAGTTTAACTGTGTGTATTGCTTAGACGAGTGGGGATTTTTTGGTTGGATTTTTATTTTTTTATGTGCTGATACTGGAGCTTGAACTCAGGGCCTGAGCTGTGATTTGTAGTTGTTTTTTTCAAGGTTGGTGCTGTACCATTTGAACTGCAGCTCCACTTCTGTTTTGGTGGTTAATTGAAGATAAGAGTTACACAGACATTCCTGTCCTGGCTAGCTTCTAACTGTGATCCTCAGATCTCAGCCTTCTGAGTAGCTAGGATTCCAGGTCTAAGCTACCAGTGCCCAGCCGGGTGTTTGTTAAGTAAATAAATGGAGGTAGGTCAAGAGCAGAGACTCACAGTCTAGACGGTCTGGGCTCCAAGGCTCACTTCACTATGATGCAATTCCCTTGTTCGCTGGGCCTCCACTCATTGCCTAAAAAGAAACCGTTTTCTGGGGCTGTAGGGACTTTGGGAGCTGAATGCAACAGCAGGCGCCTGGCGGCCCTTCTGGGGTGCAGAGCCCGGGGGTCCCTGAGTCGGGCTGTCTCTCTCCCCGCCCTGCTGGCGGCCCCTAGACTGCTGCGTCCACTGCATCCTGTCCTGCCTGTTCTGTGAGTTCCTGACGCTCTGCAACATCGTCCTGGACTGCGCCACCTGCGGCTCGTGCAGCTCGGAGGACTCCTGCCTCTGCTGCTGCTGCTGCGGCTCGGGCGAGTGTGCCGACTGCGACCTGCCCTGCGACCTGGACTGCGGCATCCTGGACGCCTGCTGCGAGTCCGCCGACTGCCTGGAGATCTGCATGGAGTGCTGCGGCCTCTGCTTCTCCTCCTGACCCCTCCCGTTACCTCCCCGCTCACCCGCCCAGGGCCACCTCAGAACCCGACCCCGCCAAGGCCGGGCCCCCACGGGGCCTTGCGGACAAGCCCGCCCTTCTCGGCTGGGTGACCAGAGACACAACACCCAAGGCCCAGTGGCAGGGGACCGGCCGCTAGGGCTGCAGAACACTGTGAACGTTAGGGGACAGGGCAGGTTCGTGGGAGGGCCCAGCGCTCCTCTACCTCGCGCTCCCCGGCACCCTCTCCCTGCTACCCCAGCTTGGAGGACAGAAAATGTGAAAAGAGATACCTATCCCCGGCCAGGCCACGCCCCGCGCGGCCACGCCCCACGGGCCACGCCTCAGTGCGAGCCACGCCCCACGGGGCCACGCCTCCGTGCGAGCCACGCCCCATGGGGCCACGCCTCCGTGCGAGCCACGCCCACGGGGCCACGCCTCCG